ACGGTAATACTTCAAAACTTGAAACAAGAACGAAAAAGTGCTCCATTGAGTTTCCGATCAGTTCTGAAAATACGAAGCCCTAGCGACTTTTAGTTTTTATTTCACAGCATTTCTACGGAAAGCCCAAGAAGAGGGGAGGGGTACCCTTAATTAGACACGAAAATTGGAAAGCAATGACCAACAAGGATTTACTCTGCTCGAATAGTTAAACAAATCTTTTTCTACTATATTGATTTTAAAAATACAAATTCCTGAACTCTCACAATGCATGTGCAGCCCTGTAGAAGAGGAAATTCTTGTGTCCCAACATAGAACTGTAGATAAGATGAAAATATATACTGATTTATTTAAACGAAGAATAATAACCCCTCCGTATGAAAAGTCAACTAAACTGTTAGTAAAGAGAAAAGTTAATTGAACTACATTTATACATTGGTATACATTTATTTCATGTATATGAACAAACTTTCTTCATAAATTGATTGATATTATGGTTTTATACTTTAGATATCAATATACAAGATATTAAACGCTTATCGATTAAAGAGCTTAATGAAATACTTGAACATTCACCCAAACTAGATGAGTTACCCGAAGAAATTCAGTCAAATGAAATATATCGTCTATACTTAAATCAAGATACACAAAGTGAGTTGTACTCATATATTTCTTCTTTTGAAAAAGGTCTGTACTTGTTATCTGTTTGTCTCTCTTGCCCAAGTTCAATTGTATTTTATTCTTTTTATTTTATAGACGACTGGAAAGCAGATGGGTACCGCTGGAAAAGTGGATCATGGCGTAAATGGCCAAAAAATAACAATTTATTCAAAAAGAAATACTTCACGTGTATTAATGGTGATGGAGAGGTAGACAAACGATTTATTAAGCATGTCTACGTATCAAACGAGATTCATTTCCATGTTATAATCGTATATATCGGTAAGTGGCAACTATTCAGATTTAACCGGATGCTTACCTTCACATCTTACATTTCAGGAAACAAATCCGTTGCCAAAATTGATCCTCATGGAAATGCACGACTATCGACATCACACATTTATCAACGAACCAAACCCTCAACCATTAAACAAATTGAAAAATCCGTTAAAACATCTACTGTGAGTTTTGACCATCTAATACGTGCGTTCGACAATTCCGCAATTCTACAACTGTAAAATTGTAAAATTCTAAGATCCTAAAATTCTACACTTGCTAAATTTTAAAACTGTAAAATTGTAAAATTCTAAGATCCTAAAATTCTACACTTGCTAAATTTTAAAACTGTAAAATTGTAAAGGCGTAGAATTGTGCAATTCTAGAATTGTAAAACAGCAAAATTCTAACATTGTAAAAATTCTAGAACTGTAAAATTGTAAAATTGTAAAATTCTAAGATTGTAAACATTCTAGAACTGTAAAATTTTAAAATTGTAAATTTCCCAGATTGTAAAAATTCTACAACTGTAAAATTGTAAAATTCTAAGATCCTAAAATTCTACACTTGCTAAATTTTAAAACTGTAAAATTGTAAAGGCGTAGAATTGTGCAATTCTAGAATTGTAAAACAGCAAAATTCTAACATTGTAAAAATTCTAGAACTGTAAAATTGTAAAATTGTAAAATTCTTAGATTGTAAAAATTCTACAACTGTAAAATTGTAAAATTCTAAGATCCTAAAATTCTACACTTGCTAAATTTTAAAACTGTAAAATTGTAAAATTCTAAGATTGTAAACATTCTAGAACTGTAAAATTTGAAGATTCTAAAAGTCTAGAGTTGCTAAATTTTAAAACTGTAAAATTATAAAGGCATAGAATGATGCAGTTGTAGAATTGTAAAAATCTGAAATTGTAAGATTGGAAAATTCTACAGTTGCTAAATATTAAAACTGTAAAGGCGTAGAATTGTGGAATTTTGTAATTGTAAATGTGTAAATTTCTAACATTGGAAAAATCTAAAAGTCTGGGATTCTGTAAATTCTAGAACTGTAAAATTCTAAAGATGCAAAGTTGTAAAATTGTAAAATTCTGCAATTGTGAAATGTTGAACTTGTAAAATTAAAAAGCGGCATAGTCTAGATGTTTAGAATTTATAAACGCACATTAGAGTAAAATGTTCACCGTTCGCAGGTGCGCTCCGATAGTGCAGTATCGAAAATGCGGCCAGAAGCTTTAGTTTTTGGTATCAGGCGCTATAATCTATAGTTTTTCGTATTTCCTAGGCGTCTATGGTATACAAAACGTTTGTCGGAGAAGCAAGCATTGATTCGCCACGTGATCTCACACAAGTTAAACATTATCGTCAAAAGTTTTTGCAACAAAAACGT